ATCTGCAGCATGGCGGCTGCCACTAGTTGCTGTTGCGTACGACAGGTGGCGCTTTTTTCTCTGATGGGTCTATTAGATGACGTTGTGTATAAAAATCAAAATAAATTGCAAAAAGATTGCAGGCTGTAACAGCGTTCGATGAAACGGCGTTCGATGAAACGGCGTTCGATGAAACGGTGTTCGATGAAACGGCTTCGATGAAACGGCGTTCGATGAAACGGCGTTCGACGAAATGTCCGGACCCAGATAGGGGAACAAAGGTGTTTGTAAGTGTTGTTGGGTTCAGCCTGAACTTGCCAAGTTGGGAAGTTCCTGCATTCCCTTTTGGAGTTAGTGTCCCTTTGTGTTTCGGGCGTGTTTGCTTTTGTGTGCGTTTGTCGGTATATGCTGAGGGCGAGGGTACACTGTGAAGTGGGCGAGGAGGTCCTTCGAGTTGTGTTGGAGGTCGGCGACATGTATATAAGACGATGGTTGTTAAATAAATTTACAAGCTGTGTTAGAGACCTCGTTGTACTGTCCGTTTTTTTTTATTATTCCTACGTCTCAGGGTTACTATGGATATCATTCACAAGCTCGCCTGTGTTTTTTTACCTTTCTTCACTCAGTATTTATGCTGGCTAAGTATTTTACTTGTACATGACATATGAGAGCCCAACTACCCAGAAAACAATTTGAGGCTCAAAATTCGTTTTCTGTCCAACCGAAAACCGCCGATCGAGAACTGGCCGGTTTGAGCCGCGCTCACCCTTTTTTCCGTGGTCACGTGCCCTTGTCTATGTTTTAGACACAACCACCAAAGATAATCATCAAAGTCGTGGGTCATCGAAGGCACACACACAATATTAAAAATATAAAGGAAATGTGATACTCATCTGATCTTTAGTGACTGTTAAAAACCTCAAAAATACGTTGATTGGTGAAAAAAATTATCTCAGTCACGTGAGTTCCGCTACCTCTGTCCTCTATGTTTCTTCTTCATCCCCAGCCCAGTTTCGGTTTAAATTTCAAGCACTGGCGTTTTTTTTTTTTGTTTTTTGTTTTTTTTTACTTTATTATAAATATGCGTGACGCTGTAGCAAAATGTTGATCCGGTAGTCTGCTCACACCAATCGCCTGACAAAAGACTAAAAAAAAAAGAATTTGGGGTGTCAGCGTCTTTTTAAAGCATGAAATATTTCTAACGGATACGCCCCAATCCCAAAATTGTGTCCGTCCGTCTTTTCATCTGTCCGTGCGTTTCCCGCTGAATTCAAGGGGAAAATTGACGTCACGGGAACCCTACACGAATTCAACGTCCACGCTAAATTTAGCTGGAAATTCGGTTTCACTTGACCTAATGTCACGGGTCCTCCAATCCAATTTAGTCTCCCCGCTAACTTTGGCACGGAAATTAATGTCACATGACCTGACGTAATGTTAAATATACAAAAAAAAAATCCAGTTTCCCTGCTAAATCTGGCGGGGAAATGAACCTCATGTAACCTCAAGTCACATGAAGTACTCGAGGGCTAGAAGTTTCCGTGTCGCCATCTAGCGCACGCGCGGTGCAACCCAAAATGAGCACGCCGCGGTTGCTTCTCACACCTGAGTGGGGTTTCGTTCAGCCTGGCTGTTTCGCCAGGAATTCTTAATTGTGCCATTCTATGTTGTTGCTAAATGAAACATGTCCTGTTCCCGTCCTCGTCCTCTCTGTTTTATACTTTCTAGTTTTGTACCTATTAACCAACAAATCGTTTTCAATTGTAAATTAATTTTGTCTTAATCTTTCCTATAACATGTGTTTGCCTTTGTTGCTGGCGATTACAAATTCTGCGTCTGGTAGGTCTTCATCCCAGGCTTCAATGCCGCTAACTAAAGTATCCTTTTTTTTTTTCTTGTCTTGGGCAAAACAATCTCAGCTTGCTACTTGGGTATTTTAGCGAAAGGTTTATATAAGGTCTCAATCTCGATTGTCGCATCTCGCTCCTTATCTTAAATGAGACCCCAACACCCTCAACCCCTTTCACGCGTCCTGTACCCGTTTTCTTTCATAAACATCCTGGACTTTACCAAGCCTAATAAAATGACCTGCAGCCACCATTTAACAGTTTAGTAATTACAGTCAAAAAGTGAATCCTCCCAGCATTTAAAGTGTCGATGGCTGAATATATACAAGCTTAATGCAAATTGCAACGTTGCATTCAGGAGAAGCACACAATTTATAAGCCTAACTCGAATCTAAAAAATGAAACAAACCATTATTCGCAAATAAAATAAGGCAAAAAAAAACATAGTCGAAGTCGTTTTCTCAATTTTTCTTTATGAACGAGCCATTGTGCAACGTCGTACAAGCCTGAAATGGCTCTCAACTGAAGCTAACGCATCGGTTGACAGCGATTTGAGACATTGCAGAGATGCGTATGTTATGTGATTACCGTAATAATATAATTAAAAAGAGAGGATCTAGGATTTCTTTACAACTGAACTGCGAGTGGAGACAGTACTCCTGTGGTCCAGTTCGATTTACTGTAAAAAAAAACTCTACAAACAGTAGGATCAGAGACAGTATTTTGCGACGTTATATGGCATTTTTTTTCATGCTGGCCATAAGCCCTTCAGAATAGTGACGACTCGCAGTAATAAGCATAAACGTACAGCAACGCACCTTTTATTACACGAAAAAAAAAAAAAAAGATCCCAAAAACGACTACTGGCAGACGAAATAGCGAAACATCCAGCATAGGTTACTTTCTTTTCGATGCCAACATTTCGCCTCAGCTACTTCACCGTAGGAAAGGCAAGACTTGTTCCACGGGGCGCGATTTGTCGAACAGACACAGGAGGCTCTTTCGTTTCAAGTACCATAAAAAGGACTGTTCATTCCTTGAACTTTGCACCGCGACAGTCCTGTTCACGAATTATCGTTGGTGCCGAGTCCCGCCAGTGACGCACACACACATACGCAGGACGACACTCGTGGAGAAAATCAAGAACATGATACAATATACAACGCTGTTCGTCGTGAGAGCATTTGATAAGTGGTTTGAGCACACCATCGCGCTCACCCAGTCCCAGTTCATAGCATATACCCGCTACAGTTTATTTCTTTAATAGAATGTTTACTTGCCCAGTCGTTTTCGTCCCGGATGTGGATGGAGAGGTATACACTCTCCGGTCACATACGTTGTGTCACCGCTGAGAGAACAATAACGAACCACCGTGCCATGTCCGAAACCAAGCAATCTCGCCGTACCGCCATAGCGCGCGCGATGTAAACAAACCCAGCATCCTCACATTCCGGGTGCCACGTGCGTGGTTCTCGCAACGAGTGCAGCAATGTAGTTTCCCCGCTGAATTTAGCGGGAAAATTGACGTTACATAACGTGACCTGGCCTATACTATACAAAACTGTGTATAGTCTTCTAAGATATTTAAAATTATTACTTTTTAAACACTGCATTTGATGCATAATAGCGCTTTTTTTAGGTTGTCTACTTGGCAAGTAAGTTATACATTGTGTGACGTCGTACCGCTGGAAAGCGCGTGAAATTTTAATCTTGGTTTTCGCAAAACCTTCAGTTGCCGTTTTCTCAATGGCCATTCTCGAATTCAGAGATAATGAATAAGACGGGGGAGCGTAAAGACTGCCTATGGCAACAAACGTGTTTGTTCGGGCCACCTGAAAAAGCGTTTTTAACTTCCTTTTTGTTTCTATCCGTCCTAGCTGGCACATGCCAGTTATACATTTTTTTGCCCGCCGTTGTTAGTAATCACACAGCAGAATTCCGTTCCGTGCGGTTGTGTGGTATATATAGCGCATTTCAATAATGGTAAGTGCATTTTCGCTACGTTCTTTCGAACCGTTTAGAAAGGCTTCAATAAAGCTGATATTCTTATCATTTACGTTTCTCTAGCCTTCGCCAAGTAAGGCGCTGAATTCGTGTTTTTCAGAGCCGACTTCAGCATCGTACTGTTACAGCTCACACTCTTTCCCCATCTCCTCCCCCCCCCCCCCCCCCCCCAAAAAAAAAAAGAGAGAAATTCCTTAATTGTTTGATGTATCAGAAGAGGCCTCCTTTGGACAACGATGAGCATTAGGTCCCAATATACGAGGTCGACGTCGCAACTGTTAAACAACCTTAGTAGCACATTTAGTTCTCTGAATGTCCTTAGGATGTTCTGACGTTCGAGGGGGTCCTCTGGACGTTCATAGGAGATTTCTACTGCTTGGGGCATCTCCGCTCTTGCGCACACGCGCCTTCCATCCCCTATTATGTTTCGCCGGAAGGTCTTTTTTTGTCAAATTACCAAAGCACGAGAGGGAATTCTGGGAACGTGGGTACACGTGCTGCACTTGCTCGCCTAACGTTCATAAGAGATTCGACGTAAACGAAGAAACTAAGGCGTTTACGAACGCGCATGCTCAGTGCCATTTGCTTCAGAATTTTGCTTCCGAACGGTTGCCGGTACCCTGAAGCAGCGGCGAGAGTGTAGTTACGCGCCAGCTTTTGCAACACGCGTTAATCTCAGCTTGCTACTTGGGTATTTTAGCGAAAGGTTTATATAAAGTTTGCTAAATTACCCGAGGAGCTGGCTACAACTTATAGTGTAGTTACCCGAATACACGTGGTGGCGGCTGCACCAGTAACTGTTCTAGAGCCAAAAGCTTAAGACAAGTGGTATTTCTCACGAACGTTGGTGAGCGCCTTATTTTGATTATTAACTCGGAAATTTTCCGACAGGTAAGGTAAGCGCGTGCGGTGCGTGTACCTACGTTGACAGCATTCCCCTCGGTGCTTCGGTAATCTGGGACAAGATCTCTGCCACCGGAAAAACAAATATGGGGGAAATGTTCGGTTGCCCTTGAAAACGGCACATCTCCTCACGAAAGTATCCGCCACCTTTTATGAGCGCTTCAAACTGGCTGACGCAGCTCTTCCTCCCCCGCAAAAGTAACACGCATACTCAAAAAACAAAATGGAGACAGGATAGACCCGAAAAAGTTCCCGAGGAAGACGTACCTGGGAGGCCCCTCCTCGCCGTAGACCGCACACCATCGACTGATGCTGGGGTCCCGGATTTCAGAGGGATTCCAACGGCTCGACCGGGGCTCACGTGGTCTCTGGGCCGCCTTTGCAACGCGAGCCGAGAGGAGGCGCACTCGGTCGGCTGGAAACCCCTCTCATCCTATGATAGCTCGCGCATGCGCACGTGGCCCAAACTCCGCTCGTCTGCCATTGCATAGCGAGAGCCCTCGGTCGGGAAGTCGCTGCCTCTCTGGAGCGTTCTAGACGAAGGCTCTTCAGCCTCGTTCCGGAAGACTTTATTTCGGGAAGTGGGCCGGCGGCCTCGCTCTTTTCTCGTCTTGCCAGACACGGGGTGCCGAGCCCGTCCCCTTGGCAACGGCGGCGTTTCGCGCTTTTGCCCGATGGGGGGAGTTTGGACGGGGTTTTCATGCGAGTGGGCCCCATCGTGGTAACTGACGCCCTCCCGAGCACGCACCGTCTGTCAACGGCGACAGCTTCGTGGTCTGCGGGAAAAAAAATGAAGTGCCAAGGTCGACGAGCGGAGCAAGTGAGGGAGAGCGATCCTCACACTGGGGCACTGTTGGCGACGTGTGCGAACAATAGCGTCGCCGTGGTCGTAATTCGCGATTTTAACGTTTTCATTTGTACTCATGTTTCTCTATGGAAATCGATTATCTGCGTGTCATTTTGAGCATGTTGGTTCAATAATGCGATGATTTCCATCGTTTCTTTTACACACGTCATCGAAGTTCGCAACGAATTATAAGCAGTCACTATTCTACAACTGTGACGTCGCAGCGAGGCGAATTCTGGTCGTGACGTCACGAGCGGAAACCATTACAGGGCGCCACCAAAAAGATCACAACGCCAATAAGAAAAAATACTCTTCAAACATAAATTTGGAGCTCAAAGTTGGCGGTGTCGCCTAAAAAGAACACCACCACGCGCTTATTACGGCACGTTTGCACTCGCGGATCCGCTAGCGAATCCGTCCAGCTTTTGCCGCCGGGGCGAAACGCTGGCAGGCAAACGCGGCGGCGAGCCGCATAGGACCTTTTTCTGCCGCCGAACGAGGCGTTTCGCTGACCGGAAGTGACATTCTCGCGGAGCGTGACCCTGCCTACGTCACGAGTACGCGTTCTTCCGGGAGCAGCAACGCCCGGGAGCAGAGGCGGGAACTCTCGCGCCTTCTCGTCATATTGGACGGGAAGCAGCAGCCGGCACCGCCGCCGCCACTCGTAGAAATTAGATGTAAACGCAACCGGTTCGTCGCCGCCACCGCCGGGAGCGAATCCGCTCCCGCGGCATCGCATTTCTTCTCCAGAACGTACCATTAACCAAAACTTAAAATAAAATAAATTACTGGTATCGCTGTACTGACACAAAATACGACCCCGGTTAAAATATTACGTCCGGGGAACGCCGCATTCTCAACTAATGCCAATAATAAAAATGCGACCCGCCGCGAACCGCTGCTCCTTAGAGGGCGGCCAGCGGGTTACCGATCGCTAAAGCAACATTGGGCCGTGACGTCAGTATCGTTCTCTTTTTTTGCTTCCGGTCCGGGCGTTCCGCGGAGTGCGCTGTTTTGAGCCGCTGCAACCACTACTTAGGCATGTGGTTGGCGCGTTTAGCCGTTGCTTTTATCTGTAGCATGTGTAGCTTCGGTATAGCCTTTTGTTTATTTGCTTGTGAGGACTCCAAGACTCGTTTTCGTGAGCAACTCAGTGCGCCCAAGGCTGCCCAGCTGTTCCTCGAAAGATGCCGAGTACAACTTGTAGCGCTGTGGGCTGCTCAAACAAGCCGCTGCGCAACCCGGAGGTGCTTTTTCACAAGTTTCCAACAGAGAGGAAATTGGAGAGGGTGTGCGTGAACGCTGTTCGACGAGTGGACTTGGGCTTTTACGCGCCCGAAAAAAAATATAACGAAAAAACAGACTTGTACAGCCCAGCACACGTGTGTTCGGGCGCCGCGGCCCACGCCGAAGAGCCTCAAAGCTTCGTGTAGGGGACTGACCCGCAGCGCGAAAGCGAGGGGGCCCCCAGTACTGAACGTCACAGGCAGCGCGGCGTAGAGCAACGCCGCTCCATCCACGGAGCCCCGATGACAATTTAGGCAAGGGACGAGTACGGAAGACCGCACGCACGACGACAGCCGCCGAGTGCGGCACCGAACGAATTCACTCGTTTTCCAGTCGCTAGCTTTTGGATATACAAGCGACGAGCACAGCATAGCGCACGCACGGCGGCGGCCGCCGAGTACGGCACCGAACGAGTTCACGGGTTTTCCAGTCGCTAGCTTTTGGGTATACACACTACATCTTGCTACATATGCTGGATAAATACCACGTATACACTCTTAGAAATAGGGGATGAATAGGGGCAGGGCCGTACCCAGAAAAAAATTTCCGGGGGGGTTTTCGGGGACAACGGCGGCCATTTTGAAAATGTGTATTGTCTTATTTTCGCCTATGAATCATGTGCATCGGTGGCATATAATGGAGAGTTATACCAAACCGGAGAACCGGTCCCGGTTTGGTACCCGGTAGCCGACCGGCGCCACTGCGCGTGAAAAGAGGTGGAGATTAAAGTGCACCGACCAGGGCCGTACGCAGAAACAAATTTCGGGGGGGGGGGGGGGGGGAGGTCAGGACCCCCTAACCCCCCCCCCCCCCTCCCTGGTTACGGCCCTGTATAGGGGTACGCCCTTTGTCCCATATGTAACTCCCCAAAACTACATCTGAGCGTTCAGTCCACAGACGTCGAGCTAAGGAGACGAACGTTTTCGAGTGGCTTGATAGTTGTTGGATATGGCTTATTAAATAGCTAATGTATCAAAGACTAGAAAAAAACACTGAGGTTTTGCAGCAGGGCCAAAAAAACCTGATTGTCTTACTGTAGCCTTTAATGCGTACATTACCTATTTTAATAAGTTGTGTCGGTCAACTATCAAGCCGCTCTTGAAAGTTGGTATCCTTGGTTCGACGTCTGTGGACTGGACGTCGAATTGTTGTTTTGGGGAGTTCCATATGCGACATGGGGTATAACGCTATACATCCCCTATTCCTAAGAGTGTACCCTTGCAAAAATGAACAATGAGTTTCAATTGAGCTTCTAATGTGTTTTTATAGAGTCAAATGAAACTCATAAGAAACTCATCGTTAAATGAGTTTTATCATTACCCACTCCATATCTATTCTTTTGAATTTACTCATTACAAATTCAAGTGAGGTTTATCGCTACCCAATCAATAGCAATTCTTTTGAGTTTACTCATTACACATTGAAATGTGTTATAAAAAAAATCTACTCCCTACGGCATTGCACCCGAAACAAATAGCGCGTCGGTGCTAGTTCTGATGTACAGATTTATTTCCTGTGCTTAAAATAATAACTGTGTTCACCCTCTTTTACTCCTAAAGGCTTATTCACACGATGCATCTTTTCAACGCGCCACAGCTTAGCGAAACCAAGATTTCGCGAAATCGGCCTGTTCAAACGTGGAGTTTGACGCGCGAAACCTGTGACGTATTCACTCACGAGAATTTCGCCAAACCTTGTCATCTGCACCGGGAATACCAAGCGTTTCGCATCAAAATGATATGAAGTACGCACAGTGTGAAGAGACAGCCTGTTTTATTAATACCACTCAATGAATTTCGTCAGATTCGGCTCACTGGGTTTACGAGTCCTGCCAAACCCGGGAAAAACCGCGAGATGACCTCGAAGCATTTCGGACATTTTTACACCGCTAATAAAGAATGTTATCCCCAGTCATCATGTTTATATACGGTGCTTGCACCCGCCGCGACTGTGGACGAATCTGCACCGCGCCCCCAATCCTTACTCTAGGCGCCGTTCACACACCTGCAACCGAGTAGGACCAAGACTCGTCGCCCGTACTACAATGACCTAGAAAAGGAAGTGTGCCGTCCGCGGCGCGTTTCAACAAAGGCGAGGTGGTCCCCGCAGCGATGACAGCGCAGAGGGCGCTGTGATCTACAGGAGCGCGACCGTGCGAGGCGGTGCGTACATGTTTACACTAGTTTACACGTATCGCGTTGGTAGTCTGCTGTGTTTATATTGATCGGTGCCTCGTGCCTCGTTGCCTGTGCTGTTACCCTGACCGTGCTGTACTTTGGTTCAGCAGTGGTGGTGTTGTGTGTGTGTGTGGACTGAAATGAAACAAGATGACGGGGAGACGGCGTGACAAGCGAGAGCGTTTTTGTTTTGTGCCCAACTGCATCACCGGCTATCGCTCGTGTAAAGAGGCACGCTCTTTGTTTCGCGTTCCGCTTGAGGCTGATCGCCATGAAGAATGCTCGTGGAACATAAAGAGAGGCGATCGAGCCCTCGACGAGTGCAGCGTTGTCTGCGAGCGCCACTTTGAACCAAGGTTCATCCAGCGGTCTTTTCAGATGACGATCAACTGTAAGGTCGTTGAAATCCCCCGTGACCGACCGCCCTTGACAAACGATGCCATTCGTACTATTTTCCCAGATGCTCCTAAGTACAGGGTGCCACAAAAGAAAATTTACACGGTCTTTTTTGCCGCAAAAATAAACTAGACATCGCCGAACGCTCATTCTCCGCCCAAAGCTAGAGCTAGAGGTCACAACCAGATGCCAAAGTTTCAGCCCGATCCGATTACTTAATCAAAAGTTATTAGTGATTTTCTGAAAATTTCAATGGGAAAATGAAGCCCATTTTTGATAAATTTCGGTTTCTGGTGCCATAGAGCCCCATGTGTTTGAAAACTCCCCCGGCCGCCATTTTCCCATTGAAATTTTCAGAAAATCACTTATAACTTTTGCTTAAGTTATCGAATCGGGCTGAAACTTTGGCATCTGGTTGTGACCTCTAGCTCTACCTTTGGGCGGAGAATGAGCGTTCGGCGGTGCCTAGTTTATTTTTGCGGCAAAAAAGATCCTGTAAATTTTCTTTTGTGACACCCTGTACTTATCAAAGTCACTGCCGCAAATAAGCAAACAAAGCAACCTCAGCGATCAGGTGTTCCCCAATTCGAAGCCGAAGACGAGGGGACAACATGCTGCCAGAAGCGGCTTCTAATGATGTTGGCCTCCTGAACGATGCCAAACTTCTTGATCAAGCTCGTGAAAGACTGTCATTTTCTGGGCTGACCAGGCCAAACGTATGGTAGAAATTTTTTCTGTCGTGTGCTGAGGACACATTTCTCTACACAGGGTGCGAAGCTGATGCTGTGGAACAAAGCAAGATAGCTGTGAAAAAGCAGGTGCAGATTACGATGCACGCTGGAGGAACTCAGCCGATGTTTT